TTTGGAAGGTTATGTTTGCGTTTTGTTTCCAATCAGCTCTTTTTCATGGATTTCATTTAGGTTTTAATAGCAATAATAAACTCAATATGCAAATGTTTGTATCTTCAAAATCAACTGTTGTGACTCAATCTATTTTTCGATATCCTTTTTCCTATATCTAAGTGCTGCATCCACTCCATCTCCATCGACTGATAAAGGCTCCCTCATTTGAATATTTCCAATTTTTTTTTTGACCAAATCATGAGGTCTTTGTTAACTATTTTCTCCCATGAATCACAATCAGATATGTTTTATTTCACATGTCGGACTGCTTTGCTGATATGGTCTCACTAACAAAAAATGTAACATTCAGTTCCATGTGATGCCTCCCAAGAGACTAAATCTATTTGTCCAATTTGATAAAAGTGTGGGGTAAACAGCCTTGTCTTTCTCACACTAAATTGCTATGTCTATAAAATTCCTAATAGTCCTGTTTGGCTCATAATGGCCTCTGTGAGACTCTCTAACATTGATAATAGAGCTCAAGAAGGTTTGGTATTCACATAAAACTGGGAATGATAGTATAAACTTTAGCCATGCGGTTTTAAAGTCCTATTACAGATGAAAATAAGCAAAGATATGTTCAGTATTGATATAATCTGTCTAGTCTATTCTATTGTTGTTTTCTTTTGCTCCTAATATTACACATACTACTACAAGTACTATCGCTTCCAATGTACCGGTACTACCTTTTTTGTGGCATACTAATGTATATGTCTTGTATTCTTTCCTCGGACTATTGTTGAAAACTGCTTTGGAGCTAGACCGACACTTTTACAGATGTGTTAATTTGTGTGCATTGTCCCTATTCAAATATATCCATAAATTGTTAAAATAAGGCTGTAGTCTCTGACAATTTGACCTTACAAAATATATTCACTGAAAAACATCTATTTAGGCACAAAATCATTGAAATAATTAGCAAGCGATAAAACAATATTGATTATATACATGTATTGAGAGTGTGCCCTGGCTTGAATATCAAAGTAACATTTGAATTGTCTCAGTTTTGACATGAAAATTCTTGTTATTGAAATGAAATATTAGTCGACAAATACAGCATTTGGTCGACTCAGTTACTTTCGACTGAAGAGAGTGAGACAAGCGCTGGTTGGACCTGCCCTTGCTAATCTATCAAATTCTTGAAGCCCTTCGTCATTGGTTAAACTCTTGTATTGAATATACATTATTGTTTACAAAAATGCTTACTTTATATGATAGTACAGCTCCCCATGGTCTGAAATATGGCTTCTTTTCTAAACTAAATACAATTGAAGGTGCAGACACATCACCTTCAAGATAGACTCCTCTATTACTATCTCCGTTGTTAAATCTCGATTGCACTAATTATTTTAACTATAGCTCATGTCCAGGGCCAGAGGCAGTATCCCACCTTCAACAACTGCCTTTTATGTTGAATGTCACGCTCTGTTTGTATCCACTGTAACAGTTTCAAATAGCTTTCTCTGTGTGGACTCACCATTTACCAACATCCTCATGATTCACTGCATTTAGGACCCGATGTATCTGCCGTTGCCCTTGAGCCACAGATTGTATCCATGTGAAATAAAGCGGTTGTAGACTGAATCTTTTGTTTAGAGTGAATTGAGCAGTCATAAAATGCTACTGAATAGTCTCTGTATAAAGAGATCCTTTCACAAAGGCTTTACAAACAAAACTCCAACTTGTGGTTCTCAGCTACTACTGGGAAGGCATGGACTTCTAGATGATGTGGAGTTGCAAATATGTTGAGAAACACAACACAATTTATTCATTATTCACATTTATTGATATGAAAATAACAACTTCTAGTATATAGCGCATTTCTTTCCTGGTGAAAATCTGAAAATTAGAATATTGTTGAAAAGTCCATATACTTACTTTACTTACTATGTGAAACTAATGTATGATACAAACTCATTACATGCAGAGTGAGATAAATCAAGCATTTATTAGATGTTGATAGTTATGGCTCACAGTTTGTTAAAGGAGCGGGCTACAATAGTTTACTCTACATGTGATAAAATACATACACATGCAGCCATATTGCTTTATTGTTTATTTGGCTGGGATAGTGCATGTGAACACACCTCTCCGGATTGTAATTTCCATCCGTTGTCCCACAGTCGCTCTCACAAACACACACCCATTCACTCTGAACTATTGTACATGTTGTTTAGTGGTAGAGGAAACCAGAGCACCCAGAGGAAACCTATACGCAGACACGGGGGAGAACATGCAAACTCCACTCAGAAAGTTCTGACTGGAATTCCAACCCAGAACCTTCTAGCTGAGAAGCAAGAGTCCTATCCACCTTGCCTCTGCCCATCCATACATTTATCTGTTTTCATTTTCTGTATGCGTTGGTGGGTAGCCCAGATTTTCCGATCCTTGGACAGATCAAGTAAAGTATGAAATTCCTGTTTTGTAAATGCCTAAACATTGGGACTCAGTTCTATACAAATCTTTATCTTTAAGAAATGTATAGAGCTGTGAAAGCACCGAACAAGTGCACACTGGCCCCCTAGTCACATGAACACGCCCCTTTGATGTTACAGTTCCTCTACACTGAAAAATACTTACTTTAACTGCCATGTATTTTCTGGACTTTTTACAGCTGACTTGAAATGTAACCTTGTCAAGTAAATTAGTTCTAAATAGACATAAAAAGCACTTTATAGATTCAATGTACATACATAAAAAAATTACAATTATTGATTCACTCATTTGTTATTCAATCTTGACATTCCTACACTATTATGAGCCTGACTCTCGCCAGACCCTTATAGTTCACTGAGCTTCACACAAGAGTCTGGGTCTGCTTCACAGCGGGTGAATTTCAGATTTGCCTTGTATAATATGCCTTGTATGTGATTGGATAAACCACTTGTCCATTATCTTGAATGACTTGTTCCATCAACCACTCACATCGAAGCACACAATTCATCACGTTTGCAGGGTTTCCAAATGCCGGCAAGATTTTCCACCCCAAAACCTGTGAGAATGCCCCAAAAAGAAAACACCCAGAATGATTTTTTGGCTAAAAATGTAGTGCAATCAACTTGGGCTATCATGATTCTGTTTATTGTCTTTATATTTATTTATTACCTACAAGTCGCTTGGAAAAAAAGTTTGCGGGAAACTACCCAACCTGGCAACCCTGCTGCATAGTGTTGTAAACAGGAACAGGAAAAAAAACTTTACACGAACATTTGACACTTAAAACACACATATAACGAAATGGAAGCATCAACATCTCGCCTCATATTGCCTTAAAAGTGACATCCGTGTCTAAATTCACAGACTTTATATCTTGGATTGCTTTCGCTGCCGCGTGTGACCTAATAGATCCATGCGTGAGACACGCACGAGAAGGCGGTGCAAACTCGATGTTACACTGGTGATCCTGATTGGCTGATTATTTTTTTACCTCCTTAAGGAGTCTGCATTGCCGTCGATCCCAGACCCTGTTTGGCCAAACGCCTCTGGTGGAGCATGGCGGAACTACAAGGGTCTGGCGAGATTCAGGCTACACTAATACTGCTTTCAGTTAAAAAAATGTTTTTGTTTTTATGTTATCCTGTTTTTTATTCAGTTCCATTTGAAATCCTTCCAAGAAACTACACTTATTTCCCAGACTTGATAAAAGCGTAAACAGCCGTGTCCTTTTCATACAAAATTTCTATTAATCTCCTAAGACCTGTTTGGCTCATAATGGCCTGGGTGAGACTAAAATTGATAATGGACCTCAGAAAGTAATAAATACGAAACATTACTCACTCACTGGCCTCATCATTTTCCTGTGTAGATGTTTAGAGAGATTGTTATTTCAGCGGATACAGCCTTGCCTGACCCCTGCGTCTATACCGCCATTGGAATGAGTGCTTCTATGACTAATCATTATACTTCCTCTTATTCAACTTTGATGTCTCAATTCTCCTCATCCTGGGAGCTTGTGTTAAACTGCGAAAAAGATCAGAGCCGGCTTGTACTAAGACTTCATATAAGTAAGGTATTTATCCTGGTCTTTTATTAGGGCTGTTCCTATCCAGGGGCAAAACGGCAAAACATCTGCCTCCCGTGCTGCAGCGGCATCAGCAGACGTAGCTCCACTAATAACAGTAATAAGAGTTTACAGCCGGGTGGTAAAATCAGTAAAGGTTCAGAATTTTTCCTTTTAGTTGTTCAGTATGTGTTAGGATTAAACAAAGAGGAGCAGAACATCAGACCACTTGTTTTCTTGGTTGATTTTAGTTAATAATTATTTTTAATTCAATTCAATGTATTTTTGTATCTTTAATTCTCCAACACAAATCAAAGAATCAAACAGTTTAAACACAAGAATTGCAATGATAATAAATGGATAAATAATGTCCCTAAATGTTATTGAATGTCGAGTATCCTGGATCATCATCACTGTCCTTTGACACTACTGCATCAACAAGGAAAAACTCAAATAAAAAAAGGACTGTGGGTGAAAAAAGGGAACTATACGGCTATAAATCGTCAGCTCTTCTATTTTTACGTGTGTTTTTTCTCTGAATCTAGTGTCACTCAGATTAGTATCACACAGGTTTAAAACAGGTCACTACATCTGTTCCAGGAAAGATTTTACTGTATAATTGACTTTTATATTTTACATAAACATATGATTAAGCAACATCCAAATGATACTGTACCATTATTAGAAACATAAATGTATGATATTATTGGGGGATGGGCTTGATTTGGTTCCCAAGCCAAAAGTTGTATAGACCTACCCTGACAGCCTTTACTATTAGCAAAAATTATTCAAATTAAAAACATGACTTTCTTATTTTTTTATCCTTTAATGACATATTAACCTTTTTGACACTAGCATTATCTTGACTGCTATCCCAGTTTGGTACCAGCATGCAGCATGAAATGTGTTTGAAAGATTACAGGAGTCAATGATGGACATATTTTTGTGTTTGGAACAGATGCGTGAGCTGCTTGAGCACCAGGTGGAAGTGTTACTGGGACCTGGAGAAACACCTCTGCGTCGCCGCTAAAGATGAGCCAAAGCACAACCTACTGGAGGTGAGAAATCTTCGGTTATTTTTGGTAAATGGCAGATGCCTTGAGGATCATGTGATATTAACATCCTTAGACTTTATCCAGACAAGCCTAGTGCTTACCGTAAGGATCCAAGGTATTAAAACCCAAGGATAGCATGTTGCAAAAATGATGTAGACCACATACTTACCCACACATTTGACTTTAGTGCAAGAGTTTCACATCTGGTGTTAGAGGCTTTGTCTCTGGTACGGCTGATCTTTGAGAAAAGCAATAGACCGACTGGTGATGGGTGTTGTGATAGTAAGTAGTAGTATATTTCCATCCATCCAACCATTTTCTTCCCCTTAATCCATTTCTGGGTGGGGGGTGGCAGTCAGAGCTGCACCCAGTGCTGCACCCAGTACATATAGCACCAGTCCACAGGAGCGAGTAGTATAATGTATTTATCAATTTGCTACAAAAAGTAGTAGTGGTTGCAGTAGCAATAGTAGTAGTAGTAGTAGTAGTGTAGTAGTAGTAGTAGTAGATGCAGTAGTATGTCACTTCTAACTTACAGTAATATGAGGAGAAAAGTTTATTTTCTGGCTAGTGTATCTTTTAAGCTCCTTTCCTTGACCTCCTCTTGAGTTGCTCTGTTTAGTGCTTTGGTTTTGAAATCTCAGCATGTGGAAGATTACTCTCTGTGTGTTGCTATTTTTGCTCATGGAATTATTACTCAACTGTCAGGACTTGTTTGTTGCCAGGAAATAAATACGCCCAGTATTGTCTCCCGTGCTGCGTTTTAACTGGGAGCCTGTAGAAAGGGATTATGGAGATGTTTGTTTGCAGACGCAAAGCCTAATTAGCTGTGAACTAGTCTGTAAAGCAAAGTGAACAGTGTAAAAGTCCTGACACGGTCTGCTAAATAGATGCTGTTTATTTAGTGACACTAAAAAAATGTGACAATGTCACAAGAGTTGTTTCCAAAAAAACCTAAACTTGGCCACGAATCAACCACGCTGTGGGTGTGATAGGCTGCAGTTTAATGGTTTATCACATGAGCCACAGCTATCATGTCATGTACAAAGTCATATAGTAAACCCAGATATACTGTAATGTGTAGGAAACATGTCACATGGTCCAGTGGACCAGCACAACACACATGACATTTAGACAATATCTATAATTTATTACGGAACTAAAATGATTGACCGAGAGAACGCTAATGAGGCATTGCAGACAGGATGATGAGACAATTACATGTTATCTATGAACGATCGATACATGTTCTATTATTAATCAGCACTGTGAGTGTTTGTGTAAAATTATTGTATTAAAAATGCATCTGTCTCCTGTGATGTTATGTCATAGTTATGTCATGCTCTAAATGGCTCTACAGGAGCGGGCTCGTGTATTGTTCTCCTGTGTGGTGGTGGTCTTGTGATGTTGCAGCTCTCGTGTCTCGGCAGAGCATTTGAGCAGCAGCTGACAGAGTCTTTTCAGTCAGACGCAGCTTTAGGCCAAACTCTGCTGATCTGAACGGGACAATAAAACGCCACAGGAATTCTGACGTCCAGCGAGACTTTAAATAAACCCTTTTATCACATGCTCGCGCCAAGACTAGCACTTTCCTGTTTGCTTTACAGACTGGTTCACTGCTAATTAAACTTTACGTCAACACACAAATATCTCCGCCTGCGATCTTAAAGAGGCCAAGGTTTTAAACATCCAGCCAAAAGCCTGTTTTTCATTTCTCTCTCCTCTTCTGGTCAAACTATGACACAATCTGATTTTATGAAGTACTTTGTCTGGAAAAGGTATGCCTGTATTGTATTAGAGGAGGAGGAGAGTAATATTGAAGTTAAAGCTTTGGTACCTAACTTTATTCTCATAAATAACACATGTTGTGAAAGAGTCGTGTAAAATGTGAACTGATCAGACCACATGCTATGAGAAAACACGTTATCTTGCGCATTTTTGTAAGAAAGAGCCATAAGAGTCACTATTTGACACGTTAGGCTGAGAGCTGATGCCTGAGTGAGGGTGGTCTTCTCTTTTTCACTTTGTAATCGTTGTTTTTTTATGATAGGCTTTAGACCTGCATTGAATCCGTTAAGAGGGTTTTTGGTAACCATCCAACCAGCCATTGTATAAAACAAAATCATTATATTTATTTTGTATCAGATCTAAGTATTTTTGTATTGCCCAAAATCACACCAGCAGTCATCTAATAGGGCTTAACAGATTTGCCAACAGCAGAGTAGAAATTCAAACAACCTATCCCCTAAGAGTTGGTGATAAGAATCTGTGGATAACCAGTCTCCACACGTGTTCATTGATGTCCCATGTACTCAGACCCTCCTGCTTATTATGTGTAAGATGTTTAAATAAATAAAACTATACTGAAGTAGATTTGGGTCAGTGTGGGACTGGGAGGAAGCAGACGGGGCGGTCTTCCTGTCTGTTGGAACCATCTCGGTGTCCGGCAGTTTATTTTTCTAGTCCTTCATTGCGTCTCTATTTGAAGCTATTGTTGTTTCTCCGTGAGCCAGAAATCACTGTCTCATTTCCTGCTGCTTTAGATAAACAGGACAGGTATTCTGGGGCGTGCGGATGTGTGGTGGAGCTATTGTTTTCTTAAGTGCTTTACGGCCCTGGATCTCAACATGTGGGGAACGCAGCATTCTTTAGGTGGTAGACTGGGATAATCCAAGGAATCTGTGGCATTTGATTTGTTTGGGTATATATGGCTCCAGCAACAGTATTAATTACTTTTGCCATATATTATTAACTAAACTAATCATGCTTGGTAACACTTTAAAGAATGGCCATACGAGTTATTACATAGGCAAGTCATATTTATTGGATTGAATGAAGCAAGCAGGAAATGTTTTGTTTTACCTACAAATCATGAACAATGGCTTGATATTACAAAGACTTAACTTGCTTATTCAATTGAAACTTATAATCGTTAAACAAAAAAACATGGGTTATAGTTCTACCAAGTAAACGGTAGAATATTTTCTTTATGCACTAGTAGACAATTATTTTCTTGTGTAAGCATGAATTCATTATCTTCAGTGGAAGTGAAATACAGGTACAGGTGAATCTCGCAAAATTAGTATTGTTCAACAGTTTGTTTACTTCCGTAATTCAATATGAAACTAATAATTGACTTACTCATTACATACAAAGACATATCTCTATCAATCCTTTATTGGATTGACTGAGCTACAGTCTTAGGGCGACAGTAGCTCAGTTGGTAGAGCATTGGCCTTGAGCCCAGAAGGTCGTGGGTTCAATTCCCACCTCTGCACCTTCTCCACCGACTCCCACTGATGACTGCTGTCGTTGTGTCCTTGGGCAAGACACTTAACCCCACTTTGCCCAAAGCCCCCACTGAAAGATCAAGGCTATGTTCACACTCAGAGAGCAGCCGTCCTCCTATGGACTCACCACCTGCAGAGGGTCAGTGAGGGGCTGGTGCTATGAGACTTGGGTGGCATCTCTGATTGCCACCCCCCTGACCCAGAAATGGATTAAAGGGTAGAAAATGGATGGATGGATGGATAATTGACTCAGAATTTGTAAATTAGAATTAAAGCCATAATAACAAAGTCTTGGCATGATGTCACTTTGCATACATGTAACCAGTCTGAGTCATGTATTGGTCTCACAGTTTAAGTTGAACAGATTTGATAATTATTGAAAGAGTTTGACTTGAAAGTGTATTGTATTTGAACTCTTTGCTGAGAAGTGGCTGTTGCGTAACTATTGTGTCACTTGTGTTTTGGGCTAACATCCCATTCACAGCAAGTGGTTACTTTTCTTCAATCAAAAAATCAAAAGTAATTGCGTCTGCTTTGTGAACTGCTTTGAAAACTCACCAAAAGCCTTTCTCTTGTGTTAAAGTCACTGTGCCCTTTCTTACCCTCAGGATGTAAGTAAGTAAGTAGTAAGTAATCTTTATTTATATACCGCCTTTTCACTGCAGATCTGAGTCTCAAAGCGGTTTACAATTGTTAATTTTGGGCATTGTTTTAATTTTAGGATGCTGATTCCTGTCCCAGTTTGGTAGTCGCAGAAGTTCCCCCTGCGCCCTCCGGCTTGTCCCAGGACTTCACCTTATCCCTGAACAACGTGGAGGAGGTATGGCAGACAGACACACTTGGAAAAGCTCCAAAAGACGTGTTGTGAAAATGATTGGAATAAACCCCAGCATATGGTGTGTTTGCTTCAAGCTGAGTTAAACACAGATGGATTCTTTGGGGTCAGTAAATGAGCCTGGCTGAGGGCTGGCTGCTGTTATGCACCAGATGAAACATAAACAAGCCAAATTTTAGATACAGAAACATTTTTTTTCAAATGTGTAATTTGTTTCTTTGACAAATTCAGATGGATTTTTATTAAATTGTGGCTCTCTGAATCACTATGAGAATGTACAAAGACATGGAGAAGTGCACTGCCTCAGCCATAAAGACGTTGTCAGCTCGAACATCGCACACAACAATGTATCAAAGTAATTCAATAACGGCTTGAATAAGTGCTTTCAAAAGAAGGCGTGGATTCTCATGTATCGTCTCAAAGCTGTGAAACAGCATTTTCTACCCCTGAAAGAGGAGCCCAGACCTACAGGATAAGGCAGTATCTACTACACCTCAAAAGCATGGATTAATGTGAAATAGTCAGTTGTCAGTAGTCAGTTGTCAGTAGTCCATAGTCAGTCATTTTTGTGAAACTGTTACTTTCAACAAATGCTTGACATATTTCATTTCATAATAATAAAAATGATTATGTATCTGTTTTATTTAGGCCACTCAAAGACGCTTTACATCATTCATTCATTCCATACTCTGTGGTGACAAACTAGTATTGTAGCCACAGCTGGATTAAGAATAAGACTGGTATAAAAATGATTTGGAAAGCAGAATCAAACATGAACACAATTGAGCTTGAGCTGCTTGTGCTGCTGCTGACAAACACATCTCTGAGGTAGAGACTGGACCACATTGAAAATCATTAATGCCAACACACAGCAAATATCAGAAGAGGAGCTGAGTCCAAACCTGAACGTCTGATTCAGGGATAGAAATGAAGACACACACACAATACTCATTCTATAGGCAGAATGAATATGCTGGAGAAGTGTCTTGCAAGTCTTACAGCCGCCCCAAATGTGGCACCAGGTGTTTCCAGAGGTCTCCCATAACAATACTGTGTAGGCCTTGCTCTGCTTAGCTTCTTAGATCTGACAGAATCAGGCTTTCACATGCAAATTATTTTTTCATTTTTTTAATAAAATCCTTTATTATAAGACGATGGTGGAGTGGTTAACGCTAGTGCTTCACAGCAAGAAGGTCCAGATTTTGATCCCACCTCCACCACCGAATATAGTATAGCGACTCCATTCTGTGTGTAGTTAGAGACAAAGGCCCTCAACAATTGTAAAGCACTTTGTGACTCTGGTCTGTGAAAGGCGCTATATAAATAAAGATTACTTACTTACTTATTGTATACAAAAACAACAGAAAGTTATTGGGTTCATTCAAGTGTTTACTGGAATGGATTGGATACTAAGATTTGCAAAAGTGAAAATCAATTAATCATTTCTAAAACCATTGAAGCTCGATGCTCAACGGAGAAAATATAATTTTTATACATAATCAGATAGAATGAACAAAATGTGACCCTTTCAAACTAATTTGAAATGGCCATGGCCATGGCGATCAAGTCATCGCCATGGCATCATTTCCAATTATTAGTATCAAAATTGAGTTTGGAATGTTAGTATTGGGACAGCACTCTTGAACAAATCATAAACTTTCTCTTTACAAATGTCTACTGTAAATCTTTCCTGTGTGAGATCAATAAAGTCATCTTCTCTTACTTGCATATTGAACCAGACAGTATAGTTAGTGCTTCTTGATGATTCCCAGCGTCATTTCTATCCATGAATCAGGCAGTTCTGCTCTGATCTCTTTTGCTGTGTGTTAGCATTAATGATTTTCTATGCGGTCTGGTCTCTACCTAAGATATGTGTTTGTCAGCAGCAGCACAAGCTCAATTGTGTTTAATTCTGCTTCCCAAATCAATTTTGTACCAGTCTTATTCTTAATCCACTCCAGAGGATTCCGCGTCAGTGATAAGGACTCGGCGAGGATCTTGTCTAAATTCCGGTGCTGAGTAGTCTCCAGGCGTGGTCCGGCCGTCACATGCCTCACCCTCCCTGGCCTTTAGAGCAGTTTCTATGGTGACAGACACTAGCCACATACAAATGTACCCGTAAAAACACACAGGCAAACCACGGCTGCAAAGGCCCAACATGCATTTAGGTTTTTATTACAAGTGTCTTAATGTCAACAATGACTCAGGGTCGGAGAGTGAAATGTCAGCAGAGTTTGTTCTTGAAAAGTCGCCATGTAAAAATTCTGTCAGTTTTTTTTTAATACACTCAAATCATTAGTAGTATGTGATGTGACAACCATTTTGTTTAGCACTGACCACTGCAAATCACAAACTTCCCATGGGTGCTACGGCTTTGGACACAATTTGCCCTGGTCAAAGTGAATCCATCTGCTGTCCATAGCTCTTTCTAACATTTAAAGGAACAGTATGTAGGTTTTTCTACTACTACAATCTGAATCTGGCAGTGACTGTGTTTAGGACTAGTGTATTTACTGGTAGATTGAATAAGTCCCATGTAAACTTGTGCTCTTTGATAAACTAGTGAAAAACCACTCGAAATCAATCCAAATCAAAGTCAAACCAGTTCAACTCCGTTTACGCTGGTATGTAACCACGTAAACTGGATCCTATTGAGATACACTAAGCAGAGGCATTTAAGAGCAAAGAGAAAACCCATCTTTAAATTTGGAATGGGCAGTTCACTCCCAGTGTGCATCTACAGTAAATATTGTATCTACAATTACAGTTCTAAAGTTTGAGTAATAAAGCGAACTGCATTGAAAGCGTCACAAAAATAAGTCCCCAGTATGTAAACAGGACTGGATTTTTTAAATTGTTTTATTATGCCTGGTAAACATTCTTAGTGTCTTGCCAACCTGTTAAGCACACAAACATAAAAAAGTAATTTCAGCTCCAGTCATCAATTTGTTGCAGTTGCTCAGGTTTAGGAAGATACTAAACCAGCTCTGGACTCCACTAAAGAAACTAGCAATCCAAAAGAGAGAGACTCATGTGAGGCTAAGTCTGCTTTGTGAGTGGATAATACATTTTAAGGTCCAACATATCAAATGTTAACTTGCATTATGTGGCTGTCTTCTTTTTCGTTTTAGTAATTAAAGTGAATGTCAGTTACTTTTCAAAACTGTGGTAAGAGAGTTAAACTTTCTGAAGACAAACACTGATTAGACATTAATTCAAAACCTGCTATGACAAGGGGAGGGGCTATTTTAAATGTATTATTGTTGAGAAATACTTGCTGCACATATTGTTCGAAATATGAATTATTTTAATAATGAAAAAACAAAATCTCAGATTCAGATTCAGATTAATTTATTTGCCATTTATCTGACATCACTTTAAAGAATAAACCTGCATAAAATATTTTGATGAGAGAAGGGCGTATATGGTTTGTACATAGTGACCTTGTGTCTGGGGACATTGATAAAAGATTTCTCTGTAATAGAAAATATTTTGCGTGTACTGTCCCTTCAAACTCAAAGGCCAAATATTTTCGTGTCTGCCTCAAAGAATCCACAGACACCGCAATGAAGAGATTGCTGTTGGACTAATTAGTTAATTTGTTTTGTTTAATCAGCAACACAATTTTGAGAAATATTACAAGCATTTAGCAACAAGGAGAATACCCATGCAGCTATAAGAGCCTTGGTTCTCAGACAGATAGAAAAAAAGGTCTGTCAGTGCGTATTTTTTAGAGTTACAAAGAGCCTGTCAAATCCTAGAAGAAAATAGCAAAGCCCTGGAGAGGCTGATCAAAGTGGACCAATTTAAGATGGCTGGATTCTCTGGTGATTTTCAGCCACTCCTGGACTCACCTCTCTCGGTTCTGGGCACTAACTTTTACCAGATTGCTCCAATATTCTAGCGTTCCCAAATGACTCGCCGAGTTGCGGGAGTCCAGATGTTTATGAATATGAATTTTGAATGAATTGCATCTTTGGCTGGCAGGGATGATTATTTCATTTTTCAGGCTAAGTATGTTGGAGTTGCCAATTGTTAGCAGACGGGTTTGAGGGAGATTTGAAATACCTCTTTATAGTCTTGTTTTTGTGAAGTATGTATTTCTGTACATGATTGCTGAAACACGAGAAAGATGTGAAATGACTTTTCCACTTCAGTCTGGCAAATTCAGTAGTTTATATTGAATGTTGAACAGATCATCATATTTATCAAAACGCCTATCAATCATCCATCTATTATGCTTTTTCTGTTTCTGGGTCGCAGAGGCCAGAGTCAGAGCAGAGTGTCCAGACTTCTAGGCACACTTCCTGAATGAATAAATAAAATAATAAAACCTTTTTTGAATTAAATGGAAGAATAAAAAAAACACCATCCATCCATCCATTTTATACCCCTTAATCAATTTCTGGGGTGACAGTAGCTCAGTTGGTAGAGCATTGGCCTTTGGGCCTGAAGGTCGTGGGTTCGAGCCTACTTCATGACTCCCACTGATGACTGCTGTCGTTGTGTCCTTGGGCAAGACACTTAACCCTACTTTGCCCAAAGCCCCAACTGAAAGATCTCAGCTCCTGTGGACTCACCACCTGCAGAGGATCAGTGAGGGGCTGGTGCTCTGTGTGCTGGGTGCAGCTCTGACTGCCATCCCAGAAATGGATTAAGGGGAAGAAAATGGATGGATGGATCCATTTCTGAGTCGGGGGAGTGGCCAGAGATGCCACCCAGTACACATGGCATAGAAATGATGAGTTTCAAACCCACCTCAGGCGGTGAGTGGATTGCACTCTAACTTCCCAGCAAGAAGGTCCTAAGTTCGAATCCCAGTTGGAACAGGACCTTGAGTCTGCTCCGGTTTCTTCCTACCACTAAAAACATGCACAATAGGTATGAATATAATGATTGAGTGAATGGATAGTGTTGGTTGGGGCCTTGATGCACCAGTGTGTTCGGCGTCTTGCTTCCTTCCTCACTGTGTGTGGAGAGAATGGAACAATATCTAAACTCTGAACATTGTGAAGCGCTTTGGGTGACCTTGGTCTGTAAAATTGCGCTATATAAAAAAACATTAACTACTACTTGCTCATCGACTTCATGATTCCTCCATTGATGAGGTGGTGATTTGGAGGAGGTGGGTTGCTGCAAGCTTGATGCAAGGACTTAGAGACTCTGTTTGAACACGCTTATACTGACAAACTTTTTCATTCGGTCATTTTCCATCGCTCATGGTCACAGGTTAAAGTAGAACATACTGTAGATTGACCAGAGAATCAAGAGCTTCCTCAAAATTAGTAAAATCAAACAAAATCTATAAGGACATTGTCTTGCTTTTGTGTTGTGTTTTTGACCATGTTCACTCTCATATCTGCATTTTCTGTCTCTTCTGTAAATCTCTTGTATTATGTTGTTCATTTCCTTAACATCTGCAGAATAACCGGTTGCCTTCAAATCCTTACAAACGCTCAATCTCTTGCAAATTTACAAGACAAAATGCTCACTTGCAGCCAAAAATATCTCAACTGTTAAGGGGGGATTCTTGCATTTGCATGGATTACTTCCCCTTCTATGGTGCCTCGTTGAATGCTATACAATTTATTTTCTATCCGTTGTTGTATTTAACAGGGCGAGCAGCTGGAGTGTGACTTTGGGACAGATCAGCGTTATGAAGCCACCTGGTTGAACAGTTCGGCTGTCAAGTGCAGCGGAGTTACTGTGAGTGCACTAAAGCAGCTTACGTTTATGATTAACCACCAAAAACCATTTGTATGCGATGGAACAAAGACAACACTGTTACCCACTGGTGCTGCATTATCAGTTTTACGATATTATACCTCCTTAAAAAGACAAACAGACCCCAAACAGATAAATGACCAGCCAAAATCTGTATGTCATCAAATTGAGTTTGGGCAGGAAATGCACTCAGCTCCCCCTGCGTTCCATACATCAGGGCTCTCTTCTGATTAAATGATGTGGTTTTGGACCCATTGTCTGTTTTTATAAACTTATTTTGAATGCATTTTTAAATCCCTGATTAAAACAGACTATTATTATCACCACAGACAGCATGTGGGACATAATGCATGCAGAGCTAAATTTAAACTCTTACACACAAAATGAAAAACAGACTTGTCTACCAATGTTTTTTATTGTGCCATTTATATCCCCATAGCTGTCCACTCACCAAAGGACTCAAGTTTACTACCTGAATCTACGCAGAGCTGGTGACTTTGATCGTTCCGGGCAAGATATATTCATAGACACTCCAGAACCAATGAAAGGTAAGTTATGGCTAACACAGGATTTGGACAGGTGAAAAAAGTCTTTGTCATTGTTATCCGCGCTTCAGTAATTTTAAGACTTATCACGGAACAGGCGGCTGAGAAATGTATTTTCCTTGCACCTAATCTTGACCAACCCAGATCTAAAGCTAGGTATGAAATAGAGATCAAACGTATTTTAAATAAGGGCAGAGCATTGAACAAAGAGACCATATCTGCACTCCTGAGAACCGTATATGAAAGCGGCGAAACTCTGAGGCTGCGAGGAAGATGAGCAAAATCAGGGATAAAGAAAAGGGAGGCAAAAATGATAGATATACATGCAAATCCAGCACGAGACAGTAATTCACAAAGACGGATTGCTTCAGTTTTAATGCGTTGTCATGGAATGTGTCAGTGGTCATAGGACAAAGACGTGCTTTGAATGGTTGAAGGAAAAAGTGCACACAGCGATGGTTTGGTCAGACCCAAGACTTTGCTTTTGTGTGGGGTTTTTTTAACCTTTACTTTAATGATTAGCTCAGTGGATTGCATTATTTGTTTGGTATGGACACAACAGTGGCATTGGACAGACTTGATGCAATACCCAGTGTTTTAGCAAGACCATGCTTATTTCCATCACTTGTCCAGAAGAAGCTTCATGGACACACATTAAAATGATACACTGCTTCATTAGACGGATCAGGCTCTGGTTCAGGTTTACTTCGTTCATACCCATGGGTAGATTTGTCTTGTTTTGTAATAGGGGCTCAATTTATGTAAATTATGCAAACACATGACCAAAAATGAAGGATGATAAATAATTCAAGAGTATCACAATACTGTTACAATACATTTATGTTGTTAATAGCTTTGTGTTTGGCGTCTTGGACTAAAAACCCTGGTAAAGTCTAGTAGAAGAAACTCATTCAAGAAGTTTTTCATGTAACACTAGTCCATCCATCCATCCATTTTCTTCCGCTTTATCCGTTGCCGGGTCGCGGGGGCAGCAGTCTAGGCAGAGACGCCCAGACTTCCCTATCCACACACACTTCCTCCAGCTCGTCCGGGGGGACCCCAAGGCGTTCCCAGGCCAGCTGAGAGACATAGTCTCTCCAGCGTGTCCTGGGTCTTCCCCGGGGCCTCCTCCCGGTGGGATGTGCCCGGAACACCTCCCCAGGAAGGCGTCCAGGAGGCATCCTGAACAGATGCCCGAGCCACCTCAACTGGTTCCTCTCGACGTGGAGAAGCAGCGGCTCTACTCCGAGCTCCTCCCGTGTGACTGAGCTCCTCACCCTATCTCTAAGGGAGCGCCCAGCCACTCTGCGGAGGAAGCTCATTTCGACCGCTTGTATCCGCGATCTCGTTCTTTCGGTCATTACCCACAGCTCATGACCATAGGTGAGGGAGGGAACGAAGATTGACCGGTAAATCGAGAGCTTCGCCTTTCGGCTCAGCTCCCTCTTTACCACAACGGTCCGATACAGAGACCGCATCACTGCGCACGCTGCACCGATCCGCCTGTCTATCTCACGCTCCATCCTTCCCTCACTCGTGAACAAGACCCCGAGATACTTGAACTCCTCCACTTGAGGAAGGACCTCTCCACCCACCTGAAGAGGGCAAGGCACCTTTTTCCGGTCGAGCACCATGGCCTCGGATTTGGAGGTGCTGATTCTCATCCCAGCCGCTTCACACTCGGCTGCAAACCGTCCCAGTGCATGCTGCAGGTCCTGGTTCGTTGGAGCCAGCAGGACGACATCATCCGCAAAAAGTAGAGATGAAATCCTGTGGTTCCCGAACCGGACCCCCTCCGGCCCCTGGTTGCGCCTAGAAATTCTGTCCATAAATACAGTGAACAGAACCGGTGACAAAGGGCAGCCTTGGCGGAGGCCAACATGCACCGGGAACAGGTCTGACTTACTGCCGGCAATGCGAACACAGCTCTGACTCCGGTCATACAGGGACCGGACGGCCCTCAGCAGAGGACCCCGGACCCCGTACTCCCGGAGGACCCCCCAAAGGACACCCCGGGGAACACGGTCGAACGCCTTCTCCAAATCCACAAAGCACATGTGGACAGGTTGGGCGAACTCCCATGAACCCTCGAGTATCCGATGGAGAGTATAGAGCTGGTCCAGTGTTCCGCGACCGGGACGAAAACCACACTGCTCCTCCTGAATCCGAGATTCGACCATCGGACGTAGCCTCCTCTCCAGTACCTTGGAGTAGACCTTACCGGGGAGGCTGAGGAGTGTGATCCCACGATAATTGGAACACAACCTCCAGTCCCCCTTCTTGTAGAGAGGGACCACCACCCCGGTCTGCCACTCCATTGGCACCGCCCCCGATCGCCACGCGATGCTGCAGAGACGTGTCAGCCAAGACAGTCCTACAACATCCAGAGACTTTAGATAGTCAGGACGGATCTCATCCACTCCCGGCGCCTTGCCACCATGGAGGCTGCCAACCACCTTGGTGACCTCGGCCAGGGAGATAGAAGTGTCCGCCCCAACATCCTCAGCCTCTGCCTCCTGGACGGAGGACGTGGCGGGGGGATTGAGGAGAACCTCGAAGTATTCTTTCCACCGCCCGACAATATCCCCAGTCGAGGTCAGCAGCCCTCCACCCGCACCATACACGGTGTTGGCAAAGAACTGCTTTCCCCTCCTGAGGCGCCGGACGGTTTGCCAGAACCTCTTCGAGGCCGACCGATAGTCATGCTCCATGGACTCTCCGAACTCCTCCCAGTCCCGGGTTTTTGCCTCTGCAACAGCCCGGGCCGCGGCACGTTTGGCCTGCCGGTACTGGACAGCTGCCTCAGGAGTCCCACGAACCATCATTGCTCGATAGGACTCCTTCTTCAGCCTGACGGCATCTCTTACTGCCGGTGTCCACCACCGGGTTCGGGGATTGCCGCCGGGACCAGCACCAGAGACCTTGCGACCACAGCTACGAGCCGCAGCATTGGCGATAGAGGAAGAGAACATGGTCCACTCGGACTCGATGTCCCCCTCCTCCGCCGGGACCTGGGAGAAGCTCTCCCGGAGGTGTGAGTTGAAAGTCCGTCTGACAGGGGGCTCAGCAAGACGTTCCCAGCAAACCCTCACTACACCAGGTGATGATCGGTTGACAGCTCCGCCCCTCTCTTCACCCGAGTGTCCGAGACACGCGGTCGAAGGTCAGATGATACGACAACAAAGTCGATCATCGACCTCCGGCCTAGGGTGTCCTGGTGCCACGTGCACTGATGGACACCCTTGTGCTCGAACATGGTGTTCGTGATGGACAGGCCGTGACTGGCACAGAAGTCCAACAACTGAACACCGCTCGGGTTCAGATCAGGGGGGCCGTTCTTCCCGATCACCCCTCTCCAAGTGTCACTGGCATTTCCCACATGGGCGTTGAAGTCCCCCAGGAGAATAACGGAGTCCCCGGGCGGTGCACTATCCAGTACCCCTCCCAAGGACTCCAAGAAGGCCGGGTACTCTGCACTACCGTTAGGCCCGTAGGCCGTCACAACAGTCAGAGACTTGTCCCCCACCCGGAGGCGGAGGGACGCGACCCTCTCATTCACCGTGAGATTCACACGTGGCGGCTGAGATGGGGGGCAATGAGAATGGCCACCCCCGCTCGCCGCCTCTCCCCGCGGGAAACTCCAGAAAAGTGGAGCGTCCAACCCCTCTCAAGAAGTTGGGTTCCAGAGCCCAAGCTGTGTGTGGAGGTGAGGCCGACTATCTCTAGTCGGTATCGCTCAACCTCCCCCACAAGCTCGGGCTCCTTCCCCCCCAGTGAGGTGACGTTCCACGTCCCAAGAGCCAGATGTTGGGTGTGTGGACTGGGTCGTCGAGGTCTCCGCCTTCGACTGCTACCCAGTCCTCGCTGCACCACGCCACCACGGACCCCTCTGCAGGTGGTGGGCCCACAGGAGGGACTGCCCACGTCGTCCCTTCGGGCTGAGCCCCGTGGGCTAAGGCCCGGCCACCAGGCGCTCGCTTGCGAGCCCCGACCCCAGGCCTGGCTCCAGGGTGGGGCCCCGGCTACGCCATGCCGGGCGACGTCACGGTTTTCGTTATCGTGCTGTCCATGGTTGGCTTCGGACTGCGCTTCGTCTGACTCGTCACTTGAGACCTGTCTGCCATGGGAGACCCTACCAGGGGCATGAAGCCCCAGACAGCATAGCTCCCAGGATCATCCGAGTGCTCAAACTCCCCCACCACGTTAAGGTGGCAGTCCAAGGGGGAGCTAGTAACACTAGTAAGATAGGAAATAAATGTTGATTGGGAGTAGAATGCTTGTGATGTGGTTTACATTTTCTATTGCATTTATGTATTTTATTTATTAGTATGCTTTTTGCTCAAACAGAGAGAGCTAAAGCAAAAGGCTCATATGCGCCTACCCCCAACTCAATATAATGAAAAAAGTACAAATGGTCTCAATGGTACAAAGGGAGCATACACACTTCCTTATTTAAATATTGTGTTGTAAAATCAGTTTTCGAAATTCCCCTTCAGTGGTATGCTAAAACATCAGACAAAATAAGTCAGGCCTATACTCAGACATACATCAGAACTTAACCATGGCTACTCTGGACAGAATCAAAACAAGGGCTGAACCAGGACGTCGCCATGATCCAAACACATGGGTTGAAATTCCTAAATGAATTGTAAATCAAAGAAAAATCCGACATTACTCCAAAAGAAATGCCTATATCACTGTCGGGAACCTCAACACACAAAAGCAGTGAGTGATAGTGGGGTTTTTTTTGACAGGTGAAAAAAAAAAACACAATTATTGCAGTCATGGCTCACTGGGTTTCCGCATTTGCTTATTCCCAAATTTGCCACAATTTTGACGTTGGCTGCCTCTGTTGCTCCCAAATTGCACTGCACCTAAGCATGAATATTTCCAATTTGATTAAAGCTGTTGAGAAACGAACAGAAGGACAAACAGTGCTTTCACCTACAATAATAAATGTTCATGTAATGGACACGTTCGCCAAATAGCACTCATTTACCATAATAGCATGTAGCAGCGCTTTGTAAGTGTAGTTATGGATTATAGCTGACATGCTGCACTGTAATTTGAGGTGTTACGGTGGGCTTTAAAGGCTTTATCATCAGTTATTGTTGAAAAATACAATTTAAGCTCCATGACTGCATAATGCAAAGTGGCGTGCATTTTGTTCACCTTGGCATGTTGTGTATGGAGCGACTAAGACAAGGCAATTTGAAGCCTCGGCCTATCCCAGATCCAGATGTTGTTGCTGCAAATGTACAACAAGCTAGCATGGCAACATTAGACTGTGTATAGATGACCAATGCTATGCCTCTAGCTCAGTGAAATCCAATAAGGAAGTGCTCATGGACGACGTTTCGCTCCTACTCATGCTGGATCCTACTGATTGACATTGAAAAGTAAACTCCTTCAGCTCAGTATCTGTTTCTGTCACATCAAAATATGCGTTCTAGCACTATCTGTGATCCAACAGCTTGACTTAGAAACCACGTGAGGAAAATGTCTACCCCTGTAAAGGCGCAAAACTAACGTCGTCGAAAAAAATGCCCATATAAGGAAATTAGCTCCAGCTAGTTTATGTTCAAATCGTCTTCTTCAGCATTCTGCACACACTATGGGTGACCTCAGCACTCGGTCAGCCCACTCCTGATGCACGGTCTATGAGGTAACACACTTTCCTTACCATGCAAAGTCATCAAAAATTTTAAGAAGTGCATTTTTTTAATTTTTTTATCACTTGCATGCAGGCGCTAAGATCCTGAATTGTGCTTGCAAATGCATGCACAGATGCACATGTGGTGATACGAATGGGATTTCTCACTGGGAGGCACATTGGAATATGAACATAATCATCTGTTTGGAGCCGGCTTTGTTCTCCTGCACTGTGTTTTTTCCAAGTAGATTTTATAGCTGAGAATATATCATCCTCTAAAAATGCTTATGCCTGTTCTTGGCGCGCACAGCACATATGGTACTAATATGAAAGTGGCCCAATCAAGCCAGACAAACCAAATTAGCTGTAAATAATGTCTGCGTTACAGTAATTGCTCCTGTTAACATTATGTTTCTGTCCCGCCAGTGGAGGTGTACAACTGTGCGGTGGGAAGCTCGGACTGCTCCCAGTGCTGGGGCAGAGAGGACCAGGGTCACCTCTGCGGCTGGTGCGACAACAGCTGTAAACCACGGGACGACTGTCAGCCGATTCAAGACCAGTGCCCAGCTCCAGAAATCTATAAGGTATAGTGCTTTCCATCCTGTAGAGTACAAAGCAGAGGAGAAAAAGGTCAAACTGAAAATACACTGCAGTCCCATTATTTATGATACAACTAAACTGCCTTCTTATTGAAATGGAAGTTGAGTTTCTTATACAGATCTGCAGTAGATTTATGTGACTTTGTGGACAAGGCTGGACTTTATTTGCACATTATCTAATTGCAATATTTCTGATCAACATTCCAATTTATACAATATCTTGTATCGTTAAAAAGTCTGTGGGAGTTAAATAAACTTATGACCTAAAACACAATTCCCACACAGTTGTATGCTATAGAATACAGTCCCTGCTGGTTAATTAGTCCCCTGGAACACTAGTGACCATTTGTGGAAGTTAACATATAAATAAATAAATGCTTGAATTAGATAGTTTGATCTTTTCTGTTGTGCAGCACTTTTTGACAGTTTATATGAGTTATGAAACAGATGAGATTCCTAGATTTGGAAGGAGAATTGTCACGACAACAAGACAAAGGAAACTTGTTTATTTGACAAATCTTCATAATATACTCAAATCAAGAGACGTTTTACAAATTCAAGTGATGTTTTGCTTATAATTAGTCCCTTTTGTGTTTGCTAAGAACTTAAGTTGTCAATAGTGGCTTGTTGTGATTTTGATTGTGTGCATCGGAATTGCCATTTCTGTTCGATTACGACAAATGCATCCCTCATACGAACTACTTGTAAGCGTCCTCTTTTCTCGTTGCACTTGGCACCTATTCTGCGACAACTGAAATCACATGTTTTCTGACTGAGCCTAATTGAACACGCTCCTTGGTCATGTAAATGTGGTTCCAGGTAAAAGAAATGTATCCAGTTACCCTCATACATGTATCTGATTACTGGCACTCACTTGTGCGGCCTCTCTCCTGCCTCCGGCTCTGTTTCCGAGCTGTAAAATGGTGAATCATTGGGTCAGTGTGGAGCTTCAGCGCCCTGTGCCCAGCCTGTCCCGTGTCAGCTGCTGTGGGACTGTCGGAATAGACCCTCATTAAAGCGCTTGGCTCAGTAATAACACTAACACTCACTTACAACCACTTAGCCCTCAGGGGACATGGCCCAAGAAGATGTGCAGTCAGTGAGGAGGGCCTGGGAACACCTCCTGGCCTGTTCAACCACTCCAAAGGGGATTGGTTCAGTGTGTCAGGCTCATCGCGGCATCTCAAAGAAAGCAAACAAGAAACAGCAGTGGTTTGTGGATTTGAGGCCAAAATCAGAGCAAAACCACATTGGTAAAAAGGAGTGTTTATTTTACACAGGATGTTTCTGTGGGAACAACAGTGAGTATCTTCTGAGGTGGAGACAATGAAGTAAAACAAGAACAGTAGTGGTAGCCAAATGCCACTACAGAAATAATTTAATTAGTAAGAAATATAAACAATAGGATATTATCTGAAAATACACAATATATTTTTCTGCTGGAGGGCATCCATCTAGGTCCATGCAGAGAGCAGGCGTAACCACCAACAAAAGCAACAGTTTTGTTCTGTGTAGTAGCGATTCTACTCATAAGAAAATAAGGTTTGGATGCTATTCTGTGGTCAACTCAGTATCACTTCATTGGCAAACAAATGACAGATTACAGTGTAAATTAAAGCTAAATCACACCTCATTTTCAAACCACAAAAATGGAACTACGTTATAAAATCCATCTCGCTATAGCTTTGAAAACGGCTTGGTACTACCTCTTGTTATCACATGCAAATATGGTTAGCCTCTGTCACAGCATTAGATCAGCTTTTTCAAATAAATTAAGGTAAAAATAGATTAACACACTTGTTCAGCCAATCAGCTCTCAGCCCATAGATTCAAATGACACACAAGGCTCTTTCAAACAAGTATACATGCAAAAGGTACAATATATGTTCTGATTTATTCACAGCATCTTACTTCTGCAGGTCTACGTATGAAAGATAATATACACATTTTATTTATATATTACACTTACTACAGATTATAAAAGTTATAACGTGAATTCCTGTCCACTAAAATCATGGCCATAATTCAATGAGAACTCATAATTCCTGCTTTTGAGGGAGAGTCCCAGCTCTTCTTAAATGTAAAAACCAACCGTGGAATACTGCCTTTCAGGACCCAATTCAAAATATGATTAAATATATTAGTTTTTCATTAGTCATAGCATTTGCCACAGCCCTGTCCTCTGCCAACACACTGTACGCCCTATCAGCACCACCGCGGGAGTCGGTCATGGGAAGCACGGCTCACATGAAGACCAGTTGGCCTTGAACTTCCTGTAGATAAAACCTGGGACAAAACACACGGCAGAACAAAGCAGCCACACACACAAAAACACACGCACACGCAGTTCTTCCCAATCTGTCCCAACAAACGGGCCATATTGAAGCGTTCAAGATCATTCCTAATTCTGTGTAGCTGTCTGCAAACTGTGACTAACGGGATGCACTGCGAGAGGCTAACTTCAGTGGGCTCCATCGGTGACTCAAGTTTCTCTGTCGGAGAGTGTGTGGGTGCATTGTTACACACGACTTATTCATAAACACACACACATACACACACATACACACACACACACACTGGCTGGGTCTCAGGGGAGGCGGCGATGGAAGGGCTGTGGTTTTCTGTTGTGAGTGATGCAACGCTTTGACGGCCATGTTTTCTTTTTTTTATCCACAAGGGGTAGGGATTGGGGTTCCCAGGCTTTTAGAAAGAAAGCCAGTCTCACCAGCAAAAAATCCACAGCTGGGAGAAAAATTCAGATACTGCTTATTTTCACATTTTTAGGAACAAACGTAAAAACACTCTTTTATGCCCAAGTCCAGCATAGAAGACGCCACTGTAAGAAACTGAAAGCTAGCGCACCTTTCACAGACATTGGGCCTCATTCACGAATAACTTCGTAAGAAACTACTCAACTTTCTTCTCAAGTTGTCCTTAAGTAGATTTCTAAGAAGTCCCCACGTGGGATTCATCAACGCACTCGTAAGCCGCTGAATTGTTCGCAGCTGTTCTCTCAGATTGATGAATCCCATTTCCTCGTAAATACAGCGCGCGTGCCAGGTGCTTCATTAGCATAGGTACTTAGCATAAGTAACCGCCCACTAATGCCCATATAAGGGACTGCAGGGCCGTGTGCAGACGGCAGAGGAAACAGCAACAGGCCTAAAGCAGAGTTACACGGAGCAAAATAGTCACCCTTTTTTCTTCCTTTACCAGACTGAGAATAAAGTTATAAAATGTTGACTTAAAAGGCGAAATATTATGATAATAAAGTCGAACTAGCAAAATTATGAGATTAATCAAAATGTTTTGAGATTAATCTCAAAATATTTTGGACCCTGGGAGGAGATCCAGCGCGGACCAGCGCTGAGTAAGAACCGCATAGACTGGAGTGACCTGACTGGAGAGACCGGTGCGCAGAGACCAGCGCGGACCGAAGATACGACCGCATAGACCAGACTTGAGAGACCAGCGCGGACCCGTATGGATCCAGGAGCATGCAGCACGGACCCGTATGGAGAGAGACCAGTGCAGACCCGTATATGGGAGAGACCAGTGCAGACCCGTCTAGATCCATGGGAGAGACCAGTGCAGACCAGTATAGATCCATAGGAGAGACCAGTGCCAGACCCGTATAGATCCATGGGAGAGACCAGTGCAGACCCGTATAGATCCATGGGAGAGAACCAGCGCAGAGACTCAGCGCGGACCCAGTAACCTCCTGCAGCAGCAGTATATATGCTGTTGTTCTGTGGCCCGTGGATAAAGAAATGCCCCCTATAAATAGGAAGGGGTCACTAATACACGGCAAGATTTCCAATGTATTTGATAAAGCGTTGGCACATTTCATTTCAAAATGAATTAAAAAGTAGGCCAGATCTGCAGTGAGAAAAAAGGCGGTATATAAATAAAGATTACTAATAAAGATTACTACAAATAAATAAATACATACATCGATATGACGGACATATCACTGGAATGTTGTATTTTTATTCAACTTCACCAAAGAGGACAACCCCGGCTGTGAACATGTCGGCACTGAATGCGTACGAGTGCTCCTGAGGACTCGTAGGATTTGTACTTGCCCAAGAGAAATTCTGGTTACGAGAAATATTCGTGAATGCCACTTTCTTCGTAAAAACCGCGTAAGTAGGATTTACGTACAAATCTGTTCCTAAGAACCGTTCGTGAATGAGGCCCATTGTGTTCGATGAGGTAGATCTTGGCTTTTTATATTTATGCTTAAAATTAAGGTCTGTTACTTTTCATATTGTGAGAATAGAGAGAAGTTTTTCAAATACAACCGGCTCTTCCTGATAGGTTGCAATTAATTAAAATCCTTTATAGACAGCTGAGGTCTATCATTAGTCTATGTATTCTCCTTCAGCTAATCTTACTTATGATTGTTGTTCCAAGGAGAGGGACTATTTTTATTATCTTATTTATTTGTTTATTTGATAGGGTCAATGCTCAGTAATGAACAGTAATGATCAGTTTAAAACCAATATATAATAAATATGCCATATATCAAAAATAGTTTTCATTTGTTATTATAAAAAATACCTCAATATAGATACCAACACATAGCAATGAATTTTCTCTATGAATGTGTTTATGGAACGGAAAAAAGTATAAATTCTATATATTCGAACGGAAGGATTCTATGAAATTCTACAAAAGATGAATTGGTGACGTTTCAACGTCAATGTGCATTGTATGGTTTTACTTTTATTCCTATAGAATTCTGTTTAAGATTATCCACCTAAAGCAAGTTATATATTCCAGCATTAAGTCATTACAGTTGTACATCAATAAAATATATGTACAATATTAATTGACACATCGACATATTGGCAATTTTCAAGGTTTTGCTTAATGTAAAATGTAAACACACATTATTCAGTACCAATGCATCAAGTTACTTTGCATCACCACACACTGTTTATGGCTTGTTTTGTCACATGCAATCTCACTCACAAGGCCGT